TACTCAGAGATTAAAACACACAGATCAAATCTGATCATCTACAGTCAGGATGACATTGAATGATGAACAGGATCGTGAAGCTTTTTAAACATGGTGATTAAATTAAACAACTTAACGGAGCAACTGTATGCAGCACGGTGCAAAAATCTTGAGCCATTTTCTATCTTTTTTATAGTTTTCATCCAAGGATGAAAATAAGCAGCACGATGGATCAGTGGTTAGCACCGACGCCTCACAGCAAGAAGGTCCTGGGTTTGATCCCTGGTTTGGACCTGGGGTCTTTCTGTGTGGACTTTGCATGTTCTTCTCGTGCTTATGTGGGTTTTCTCTGGGTACTCCGGTTTCGCCCACCCCTAAAAACATGTACAATAGGTTACCTCCAGGCCTCCCTTGAAAAAGAGATCTGAGGTCTCAACGGGACTTGCCTGGTTAAATAACAATAAATAAAATAAAGAGACGGACTTCCTTGTAACAATTATTTAAAGTTGTCATGTTTAATATTAATACTTTTCTCTTTATGCTTTCTTAACTTTGGGCACTTTTACTTTTCGTCCAGTACCTAAATACTTTCAGAGAAATATGGTTTATTTTCCATTTTTTACGTTAATTAGCTCAAATTAATCTCTCAGGCATGAAAATGAAATCATTAAAAACATTATTTGATTTCAACAGGATCTTTACAGAGTTTGTTACCAGCTGCTTAAAACAAATACATAAATCTTTCACAGAATCTCAAAAATATTTAAAGATTCTCACAGGATTAATTAAAAAAAACAAGCCTTGTTGAAACTGTTTGCACAGTTTGTCAGCACACATTGTACAATTATTATTGTTATTTAGACTCAGACAAACATCGGTAATCCATAGTTAGGAGGAAAAAATGATTTAGAACCAAGGAGCTGGTGGGTTGTAGAAACTAAAAGGATATTATGTTTTATTAATCAAAAACAACATAAAAATAGATGCAAGACTGTAAAAGTAACTGTAGGATCAGTTCTGAGCAGCTCTTTAAAGAGGACTTAGCTCTGTTTGATGAGCTGATCCAAACCATGTGATCCCAAAAAACATCCTTAATTTCCATCACTGTTTAAAAGGAAGGCAAATATTAATAAAAATATATTAAAAATAGTTCTATGGGGGAAAATGTTGCACGTTTTTTTAATCATCCATCAGTTGCTGTTCAGATCAACAGAAACTAACTGACTGAGCCCACTAGAGGACAGCGTTTCATAAAACATGATGCAAATGAAAAATAGAAAACTTCCCATAATTTCTATAAAAACAAAGGTTTTTATAAGAATTTGTCCAAATAATCTCTACATCTATGATAGCAGACCTTTTATCTTAAAGAGAAAACAGATTTGTCTAGTAAGGGGTGTGTCTCTGTAATCTCACAATATGTTTTTTTATTATTACATTATAACACATTTGCTTTCAGCATCACAATAAAAAACAAAAAGCACCTGGTTGATTTCTGAAAAATTAAGAATCTGCAAGGAAACAAGTATTTGGCGCAAAAAAATGTGCCTTTTTCTATTATTCTCTTTTTGTTGTTTTAGTTTTTACTGGCAACACAAACGGGCTTTGTGATGCTGAAATACTCCATCACCACTGACAAAGAGTTTTAATCGAACCCAGATTGTCGGAAATCACAATAAGTTCTCACTGTCACACAGAGAACATCTCTGTTCTCACATCTCTCTGCTCTCTGGCAGGCCTCTGCTGCACATCCACAGGGAGTTGAGCCTCAAAATCGTCTTTATGGTCATTTCAGAGCAGTAACACGAAGAACATTTACATGTCATCTGTTCAAATGGTTTTTATTGACCCCAAGAGGCTGTCAGACAGACCTGGTAAACACAAATGTACAGTGAGGGTGAACTGGGAACATTTGGGAGAGTTTTTCACATGTCCCGGTGGACATCAGGGACATGGAATCTGGATGGGCCATGTTCAGGGCCTCCGTTGCAGATGCGGCCTGAAGGTCATTGGTGCCTATCACTGCAGCAACCAAAGGACCCACTGGTGGACAGCAGTGGTGATGGAGGCCGTCAGTCCGAGGAAGTAGGCCTTGCGGACTTTGCTTTTCAGAAGGACTCCTGAAGCAGCTGACAGGAACAGGGTGGCCAACAGGGTCATGGCTTCGCTTGTTGCAGATGCAAAACTCAGCATGGGAGGAAATCAGGGAGGACATTGAGAAGGACTTTCGATTGGCCTTGAGGTGGTTCTGGCAAACCGTTCAGCGACTCAGAAAAGGAAAGCGTTCCCTGTCCCAGGCTGTGGGTTTGGGTGGAGAACTGCTGAGGATATCGTTGAGCGGTGGAAGGAACACTTTGAAGATCTCCTCAATCCATGTTCCATGTCCACCTTTGAGGAGGCAGAGGCTGAAGACTCTGATGAGTCAATTACCAAGGCAGAGGTCACCGAGGGAGTCAAAAAATTCCTTGGTGTCAGGGCACCAGGGGTGGATGAGATTCATCCTGAGATGCTGAAGGCTCTGGATGTTGTGGGGCTGTCATGGTTGACACGTCTCTTCAACATTGCGTAGAGGACTGGGACAACTCCTGTGGAGTGGCAGTCCAGGCTGGTGGTTCCCATTAAAAACAAAAGATAGTGTGTTCTCGTGGGATCATACTTCTCGCCCTCCCCAGGAAAGTTTACTCCAGGGTGTTGGAAGGGAGGCTCTGATCGATTGTTGAACCTTGGATTCAGGAGGAGCAGTGTGGCTTTCTTCCTGGGAGTGTAACAGTGGACCAAATCTTGTGTGCTAAAAGATTAACTATTTATTTATAGCAATACTAAAGAACAACTTGACAAGTTGCTCAACATTCCTCATTTTAATGCAGTGATAACTGCATGCTTTTTATGTAAAGGGTATAGTATTACAACTTTAATTTTAGAATATTGTGACTTTTTTCTCAAAATATTGACTTTAATTCCGTAATGTTACGGCCTTATTCTCATAATATTATGACTTTAATCTCATAATATTACGACTTTATTCTCATAATATTATGACTTTAATCTCACATTACAACTTTATCCTCATAATATTATGACTTTAATCTCACAT